ATTTGTTAGTAAAGCTAATTAAGCACTTTTAAACTCTTTTACACTTCACTGTATATTGTGAATACAAACACAAGTTGTAGTTTGAGGCTGACGAATAAATAGTCAAGTTACCATTATTCCCACATAAAGGGGCATGTGACGTCCCCAAATTCATTACTATCCACATAAATCAATAACTGGTACAACTGTGGGTTTGGTCTTCTTTAAATATCCACATATTTATATCTAGATATCAACTAATATTTCATTATTATAAATGGAAAGTTTTCCAGAAATTAACTGAAAGATTTGGGATTTATAAAAACATCAATATACAAAATATGTTTCTGGTGGACTAATTTACAGTTGAAGGTAATGAGAACACTGACTAAGCTGGAAAAGGACCACCTGGGTTGGTGGTGGGTTGCAAAGTGGCTTTAGGAAGCTAATGGGCTAAATAATGTGTGTAGGTGTGCAGAGCGGTATCACATGAGCCACTAGGTCTTATCTAACTGCCTGGTAAAGTCAAGAACAACAGCTTTTGTCTTCTTCACTTGTTCAGAGTCTTTAGTTATTTCTGGGTCCAAATGAGTCACAGATTATTATGTCAGGGTGATTTCATGCTGCAAGCTTGTAGCTTGTAGCTAGCTTGTAGAATCTCCTGGTCTCGACTCTGTGAGCTTTCTTGTGTAATTGAGTGTAAATATCATCGAATGGCTGAAAGGATCCATCCATATCGTCAGGTTAGTTATTAACATGTGAATGTGTGGTTTGCATCTCTCACTATGAAAAACTCGATTCTAACAAATCATGACTGGTGTTAATAAAAAGCTGGAGCTGTAGAGAATTACAGCTTTTGTAATCAGTTAACAAGCTTACGTGAACCACAGGTCCACATTCGGCCAATATTTGGCTCCGCCGCTGTGGAATAACAGGATCAATGTGTTCAAATCCTTTGAATTTGGTTTCTTGGCTGTGGTGCACTGAGTCACTGGCCTGCTGCCCTGAGGAAATAACAGATCAGAGAAGGTGGCAGGTGCTCTTCACCTCAGGGTGCAATACCACCCTCACCACCCACTCACCCTCACCTGCCACCTCACTGAGCCAATCAGATCACTGGCCACCTAAAAGCAATAACCACTGACAAGAAATCCATAACTCTTCCCGGGTTAGGGTCTCCTGCTGGCACCTGCAGAGAGTGCATCTCCAGCAGGACGACACATTGTGATTCAAGGTGAGTCCATCAACATAAATCAGACCTGAGGCTCAGAGCTGTGCCGAGGCTGGAGGAGCTCTGGGTGTTGGCACAGACTCTGAAAAACATCACGCAGGAAACTGTGACTGCAAATGAGGTTTGCATCTAACACTTGCACCTCACCCTCGGCTCCTCTGAGAGGAAGAAACCTTCAGTGATGGTTCAGAGGACCTGTGACTCATCGCAACGGTGTTTTCATCTCTGCCATAAAAAGATGCTCTGCATATTTGAGAATCAAACATGGGATTAAATTTATAAAACTGCGAGAAATCACTCAGAAAAAGAACTAACAGGCAGCCCAAAGCTGGAGGATGCTGATGAACCTTTGGACTCCTTTATCATGTTTTTTGGCTGTAATTTACTCTCTTTTAAAGCTTCTGAGACAAGAAACCTACAACACTTTAAAGAAGAAAACCTTTACAGTTACAAATGTCATTTAGAAGCTAATCAACTTTAAGCTTGAAGTCCAAGTCAGAGTTTTGCAGTCACAAAATGACCAGCAGCTTAAAAAGGTTCAAAGTAGTCTCACTTTCACCAACAGTATTACTATTATGATGCACCACAGTGTTCCCCTTTAATGTACTTAAAGTAATGTCATTTTATTTAAGTTTTCCTCCATTTTATTCAAGAAGAAAGGAAAACCATGAATCCATGACTGTGCATGTGGACATGAACCTCCTTATGCTCAGTAGGGGGCGACTCCTCTTCTTTAAATGCACAGAAATCTGACAGACGAAGATGACGTCAGCGCACATGTTCTTGGTGAGTTTATGCTGTCAGTCACTAATCTGACTGAATATAACAGGATGGTCCCTCAGTTTGTTCTATGAACTCTTAAGGTTAGGGTTACTAATAAGCAAGATTACAATAACAATGTCCATATATGGTAATGTTAGGGAGGAGTTTGGGGTCAGCGGATGGGTCATTTTGATGACTCATATTTCCTATAATGCTGATCATTCCAGTTCTTAAGAGAACTGCTGTTCATGTTAATCTTCTGTTACAATGAGTCATGCTGCATTTGCGCTCTTTATCTGCAGAGATTCGTGGAAACACTTTGACTGAAGCATCATTGAAACTTTACTAACCAAACGGTGATGTCACAGGGGCAGAATTCATCATAGCATGTTTGACATAGCATGTCAGCACCCACCAGTTTGTAAAGCCCTGCTGTGACTCCCTTGAGATTAAATTTTTCCCACCCTGGTGTCTGAAACCAGATGTAATGAGTGAGTCATTACCCAGCGAGCATATCTGGATAATAAGCTTTTTTGACAAGTACAATTACCATAATTTATCAAAAGAACTCGGGGTTTTATTGACCTGAAAGTAGAGACTGAGACCCAAAACTCATCAACAGGAAAGTATTTACAGAGGTTCTTCTACAGGACGTGAAGCCTTTTGGCAACCGGAGGTAGTTTCACTGGTAGCTACCAGAAATAATTCAGGTTTCACTTTTCAGACCCACAAGTCACATCCATC